AGATGTCAGGAACAAAAAAGTGGTTGAAAACTTGCCGAGGGCAGGAGCTGAACCTGGGATCTTCGAATAGCTCGTTTGATGCTCCACCACTGAGCTACCACGGCCGCTATCCCCCCAGCCACTTTATTGGCTATACGTGTGAATTAAACGGAGTGTCAGTCAGCACCACCAGTATATATATGTATATATATTGTGGGCATTTGTTGCTTACATCGTCCTCATTCCTGCATGATCACAATCACCATCATCCACTTGTCTCTTTGTCCTCATTGCCACTCTGGGTCATTATCATCGTCTGTGTACTGGCTCTGCCCGTTCGTTTTGCGAGGTCTTTCCTCAATTAAACGCTGTCGCAACCAAGACTACCAAGACTTCATACGTGGTGGAGGTGGATTTTTGGTCCTCTTACCTCCCGCAGCCCGCTCTACCCGCTGGAGCTTCGTTCAGGCCGCCGATTGCGCCCACTGTCAGGCAGCATGTCCCAGACCGAGCCTACCGGAGCTGATGTCATCAACCACGCACCGACGCTAGCTGCCCCTCCTATTTAGATACACGGACATTAGCGGGAACCCCCGCTCTTCGCTGGTCTTCGTGGAGAAGACGTAGAAGACTGGCTCGACGACTACGACCGCGTAAGTGTGTTAATCGGTGGGACGAGGCCGCCAAACTGCATTACGTCCCTTTTTATCTGACCGGAGTCGCAAAGACATGGTATTTTAACCATGTCATTGACCTACCCGACTGGGCTACCTTCCAGCAGCAGCTGCGACACGTTTTTGGGACCCCGGACATTCGATCCGCCGTCGCGAAGAGGACACTTGATACTCGCCGACAACATCCTGGTGAATCGTACACTTCATACATCGAGGATGTCCTCGCACTGTGCCGGCGTGTCAATCAATCCATGCCGGAATTGGACAAAGTGCGCCACATATTGAAAGGCATTGGGCCTGTTGCCTTTAATGCACTTGCTGTCCAAAACCCAGCTACCATCGCTGATGTCGTGATGACATGCCAGCGCCTTGATACGCTGGACTCTGTTCGCCTCCAACCAGACATTGACGACCACCACTCTACGTCTCATGGCCACCTGCGTGACCTCATCCGGGACATTATACGTGAAGAATTGCGGTCTATGAGCTTCACACCTCCTACACCACGTCCTACACAGTCTTCGGGAGTGCCCTTGCGTGACATCGTCAGGGAGGAACCTACATCGCTGACAGGCGTTGCGCCCATACAGCCACCTGCTTCACGCCCCATACCCACGTACCCTGAAGTTGCTGCCGTGCCTCCCAGCGACGCCCACGCGACATTGCTGCGTCCATCCTACGCATCAGTTGCTGCCGCTTCCCCGGTAAACTACCATTCCGTGCTCCCTGTCCCTCCGGCCCACCTGACCGCACTATCTTCAGGTGCCCCGAATGCCTTCTATTCCCCACAGTGGCGCTCGTCTCGCCCTGTATGCTACTACTGTGGCTATCGCGGCCACATATCTCGTTTCTGCCGAAAGCGCCAGCAAGATCAGCGTTGGAACGACGTGCGCGAACGGGATTCGTACACTGGGGCATCTTATCAAGGTCGGCGTTATTCGTCTCCCCCGCACCGGTCTCCATCTCCTCCGGCATCGACTGCACCACGAAACAACCGAAACACGAGACACCGCTCGCCTTCGCCCTTCCGCCGTTCCACTTCGGCCCGCCTCATTCTTATCTGATATTCATTCGGGAAACTAAGTGATGCAGTTTGTGGAGAAAAAACTGCATTCGGAATTAGAACTGAAATTCCTCCATCAGGCCCAAATAACACGCTTTCTATGGAAGTGGAAGGAGTGCAAGTCGATGCTTTGGTGGACACAGGTGTGACATTGTCGGTGATGCGTGCTGATTTGTGTGAACATTTAAGGAAAGTAATGACGCCTTACGATGGCCCCACGTTAGTTGCTGCCCAGGGGAACGTCATTCGCCCTTTCGCGTTGACGACGCCCTTGGTTCCCTACAAGGCGCGGAATTTTTTTCAAGCATCGACTTGCGTTCTGGGTACTGGCAGATCCCCATGCATGAAGACGATAAAGAGAAAACGGCGTTTGCAACCCCCGACGGGCTATATGAATTCAACGTGATGCCTTTCGGGTTCTACAACGCACCCGCGACTTTTGAGCGCATGATAGATACCGTGCTGCGCGGCCTGAAATGGAAAAGTTGCCTTTGCTACCTGGACGACATTATTATCTTTTTGTCAACGTTTCCTGAGCACCTAGAACGACTGGATCAAGTTCTGACATGCCTTGCCGGCGCCGGGCTTCAAATAAACACTAAGAAATGCTCTTTTGCTAGCAAATCTATCAAGGTCTTAGGACATGTCGTTAGCAAAGATGGCATCCGGCCCGACCCTGACAAGATTTCTGCAGTCCTTCACTTTCCGCGTCCCGAAAAACCAAAAGAGCTTCGCAGTTTCCTTGGCCTCGCCTCCTATTTTCGCCGGTTTATCCAGAACTTCGCTTCTATTGCTGCTCCGTTACACCAACTACTCGCTTCGAACGTCCGCTTTCTGTGGTCTGAAGAATGTCAAACGGCATTCGAGCTGTTGAAGCGGCCACTCACGTCTGAACCTCTGCTCTGCCACTTTGACGAAGCCGCATTGACTATCCGTCATACCGACGCTAGCGGCTTTGGTATAGGAGCCGTTCTTCTACAACGCGACAAGTCCTCCCTAGAGAAAGTTGTTGCATATGCCAGTCGCGTACTCACCCCTGCTGAAAAGAACTACACTATAACTGAGCAAGAGTGTTTGGCTGTTGTTTGGTCGGTCCAGAAGTTCCGTCCCTATCTCCACGGCCGTCACTTCACAATGGTTACGGACCACCATGCCTTATGCTGGCTTTCTACACTGAAGAACTTGTCCGGACACTTGGGTCGGTGGATACTACGCTTGCAGGAGTACGACTTTGACATAACTTACAAGTCAGGCAGAAAACATCGAGACGCCGATGCTTTATCTCGTTGCCCGCTTCCAACTACCCATATGAGCGTTGGTGAGAATTCAACCGCCACATCTACCAAAGTTCATACGCTCGCATCGATAACGCAGCCCTTTTCGCACGACGAGCCAGCGGTCCAATTCATACTGCAGACGCATGATGGACCACCTTTCGGGAGTTTCTCATCCACCAAACGCAGGACTCCGTCTTCAACTCCTGCACTTTAAGCTGGACAATGGGGTTCTCTACCGCCACGTCTACCACCCTGACGGTCAGCGCTGGGTTCCTGTACTGCCACGCTCTCTTCGACTTCAGGTGGTCGAAGCCTTCCACGACGACTTGACTGCTGGTCATCTTGGTTTTAAAAAAACTTTTGACCGCATTCGATGTCGTTATTACTGGCCTGGCCTTTCTTCTAGTGTAGCTCGGTACGTCGGTTCCTGCTACCCATGCCAGCGTCGTAAACTCCCCACGTCTGCACCTGCTGGACCTCTACAGCCATTTCCGTGCCCTTCAATGACTTTCGAAATTGTAGGTGTTGACCTTTACGGGCCTCTCCCCGTCACATCTGCTGGCAAACGATGGATAGTGACCGCCGTTGACCACCTGACACGCTACGCTGAGACTTCCTCTGTTATTACAGGCTCAGCTGTGGAAGTTGCAGACTTTATTCTTCACGCCATAATCCTGCGTCATAAGGCTCCTCGTGTACTGCTTAGTGATTGCGGCAAAGTGTTCTTATCACAAATGGTAAATGAAGTACTGCGCGCTTTTGGAACTACTCACAAGGCAGCTTCAAGCTACCACCCTCAGACAAATGGTCTCACAGAAAGATTTTACCGAACCCTTGCAGACATGATAGCCGTTTACGTCGAACCCGACCACAAAAACGGGGGTACTCTTTTACCATTCCTGACATTCGCTTACAACACTGCCGTTCAGCGAACAACTTGCTACTCACCGTTTTACCTCGTGTACGGACGCACCCCGACTACCTTTCTCGACGTCTCCTTCTTTAGCAGCCATGGGAATTCATGTCAGTCTTCTAGCGAAGAATACATTTCCCGCCTGGCCCAGTCTCGCCATCAGGCTCGCATCAATACTGAAGCGAGACAGCACGAGCGGAAGATCATCTATGACGAATCCCACCGCGTTGTGTCTTTCCAACCTGGTGACGAGGTGCTGCTTTTGACACCTATTCGCACTCCTGGTCTCTGTGACAAATTCCAACCACGCTTCATCGGGCCATACATTGTTTTAGAACAAACTTCGCCGGTTAATTATCGTGTGACACCACTCGTCGCCCCAACAGACCGCCGCTACCGCAGCACAGAGATTGTCCACGTTTGTCGCATGAAACCTTTCACGCGACGTTCCCCGTCACTTTGACTTACGGCGGCCAGGGTGTCCGCTTCCAAGTGGGGGGAATTAGTGTGGGCATTTGTTACTTACATCGTCCTCATCCCTGCATGATCACAATCACCATCACCCGCTTGTCTCTTTGTCCTCATTGCCACTCTGGGTCATCATCATCGTCATCGTCTGTGTACTGGCTCTGCCCATTTGTTTTGCGAGGTCTTTCCTCAATTAAACGCTGTCGCAACCAAGACTACCAAAACTTCATAATATATATATATATATGTATATATATATATATATAATTTATTTATATAATGTGTGTGTGTTTGCGAAATATAGAGCTTTGTAATGTTTGTCAAATAGTAAAGCTAGGGTATTGAACTTGGTTAGAAATTTCAATGTACATTTCATATAAGGAGTTTGGGCCTGACTTTTGGTTTGATTTTTCTTTTATTCATTTTCTTGTTCAAGGTAGGCATTCACTCTTGTACAAAAGTGCATGATAACTTCTGGTTCAGTTGTGATGCCAAATTAATTGGAATCAAATTTGAGCTTTCGGATTTTGGCTTAAGGTAAAGGCTGTCTGTACAGTGCAGTGCACCATTGCGAGATTATTTGTGCAAGCTTGTGAGCTTACATTTAATTTATTATTTTTCTGCAGGTGACATCAGTAGTGTTCCACCCAGATGAAGACACAGCAGTGACAGCATCACCAGACACTACAGTACGTGTGTGGAACATCCCATCTGCACAGACAACTCAGATTATTCGTGCTCACGAGGGACCAGTTTCTGGCCTCAGCTTGCATGCAACTGGCGACTACCTGCTGTCAACATCAACTGACCAGCACTGGGCTTTCTCTGACCTTCACACTGGCCGTGTCCTGGCTCGTGTGCTTGACAACTGCGCCCTAACAGCAGCCGAGTTCCATCCTGATGGTCTCATTTTGGGCACGGGCACATCAGATGCCTTAGTAAAGATTTGGGATTTGAAAGAGCGCACCAATGTTGCCAACTTCCCAGGTCACACTGGCTCCATCACTGCTCTGGCATTTTCAGAGAATGGTTATTACCTAGCCACTGCAGCAAGTGATTCTGCTGTCAAGCTGTGGGATTTGCGCAAGCTGAAAAACTTTAAAACCATTGCTCTAGACGATGGCTATGAAGTGCGAGATTTGTACTTTGACCAGAGTGGTACCTACCTGGCAGTTGCAGGGACAGATGTTCGTCTCTACCTCTGCAAGCAGTGGGACACACTCAAGATATTTTCAGACCACACAGCTTTGGCGACAGGTGTGCGATTCACTCATCGTGCCCGCAACGTGGCCTCTGTCTCTATGGACCGTACCCTGAAGATTTATGGGTTATCATAAAAAGTACATGACTTTGGCATACCCTGGCAACAAGCATTTGTCGTTCAAGTCAAGAAGAGTATGGCTCCCTTATCATTCATTATACCCGGGCAAGAAGCATTTGTCGTTGAAGTCAAGTAGACTATGGGTTATCATAAAAAGTACATGAATTTGGCATACCCTGGCAACAAGCATTTGTCGTTCAAGTCGAGAAGAGTACGGCTCTCTTATCATTCATTATACCCGGGCAAGAAGCATTTGTCGTTGAAGTCAAGTAGACTCTGGCATTCTTATTCAGTATACCCTGGCAAGAAGCATTTGTCATTGAAGTCAAGAAGACTTTGGCATTCTTATTCAGTATACCCTGGCAAGAAGCATTTGTAGTTCAAGTCAAAAAGACCATCTCTTTATGTTTTATTCTAATAAAGGTTGCTTCAAAAAGCATCACACTTTTGCAACAGTTGCTGGTAGTTAGCCCAATTTAAGCTCATAATGAATGCATGTAACATCATGGTTGATCAACAGGCATCTAGCTCTGCTAACTCTTCTTATTTGCCCGGGATACACCAGATTAGCTACCAGTCCTCATATTTGTATGGGCAGCAATAAATCTTCCGATAAATAGCCAACACCATTCATAATGAAAATAAAGGACAGTACTTCTTGAAATTTTTCAGGCCTTGGAACCACAACGGCGTACTGAGGTACCCCCCCTCTGCCCACTGATGTGTAGGCCAGGGAAGCCACCAAGTTTATGCGTAGGCTTAACTATTTAGATATTACCTCACTGAGGAAGCTACCAGTGTTGTGGAATGGGTGCCTCCATTCCAATTTCATTCAGGAGAATTAGAACTTGCCGTAATTTTATTACTTTCAATTCCTCGTGATAAAAGAAACACCATTCTGATTCCGGGAACGACCTGGCAGTTCAATTCCATTCATGCAATTCCTATACACAGGGACGGCATCTTGATAGTTTTATCGAGTTAAGAATGAACAGCCTATGAAGCTGATGTCATCAGATGCATTAAGGTGTGTTGCCAGTCTTGAAAAACATGTTTTTCTTTTAATGAAAAACTTTTTAACTTCACTATTTAATGCTTTAAGAATTGACCAACACACAGAATTGTGCCGCAGCAAAAATGACATCTCTATCTGGTTCTGTTCGAGAGTTGTGCTCGTTTTTACAACTACTGGTAAACCTCCCTGAAACTGAAACATGTTTTCTAAAATGAAAACCGTATTTTAATCTGTAAGACTAAGTTATGGTTGTATGAAAAATCGTAGAATACATTTATTTTAGTTTGTGATGAAGTATAGCTATGGTATTGCGACTATTTATTCGAATCGCACCAATTACCACGGGACGCACGAAGTGACACAGTGTTTACACTGCACCGGTATGTCATATTAAAATTTTGAAAGAAATTATTTCGCTGATACAATGTTGTAGATTGCTATGGGTGCAAGGGCATGCCGTGGTGCCACCATGTGGAGATATCCCTGTGATGTGCAGGGTTGGATTGCTTTGCCAGGCCCCTCGCGCTCAGTCCGCAGCCACTTTCATGTCTTCTTCTTTTATTATTGTTGCTGCACTTCACTTGAATAATACCAGTAAAATACTACTGCAGCTTCTTGACTGACTGCCCGAAATGATAACTGCTCCGAAAAAGTGTTAGGCTTTTCATACAATGCTTGACTGCCGGCGTCGTCTGCTATGGCGAGCTATATGAAAATGACGAGGGCTGAACGTACTGCTTTTGTAAAAGGTAATGAGTCATTCTGTGTCAAATTGAAGCATAAAATGGGCGTTGAGGCGTGCTTGCGGTGAGGAAATGTATTTTCGCTCCAAGAAAATGCGCGAAACTGTTTGCATCTAAAAATGGGCCGTGGGTGACAGGAGAAGCTTGCACAAATTTACATTCCTGTTTAACGTGCATAGCCTTACAAAGCACAGTGCAAGCGGATTCCTCGCTTTGTGGGCAGCAACCGGGCATTCTACAGCTACATGCAGCCACAACCTCTCTGTTACAATTGCAAGGCAAACGCAAAAACAGTCATGTGCACGCACATGCCTTATTTCGAGTTGTAGCTATAGATGGAATTTCACATGAGAAAAGTTTCTCTGCGGCACAAACTTAATATTTATTGCACAAGTTCTCCAACGTTGTCACACGGTGCACATTCGATTGACATCGAGCCACTTAGGTGAAATTTTTGGATTGGCTCAATTCTGCTGCTTCTACAAATATGTCCATCGCGATCGAAAAATGCGATCCCTACCGGGCTCGATCACAATAGTAAATGCACCGTGCGCCAACCGGCCGCCCTTGAATGAGCATGCTGCCCGGTTAGGGTGATGCTATACCAGTAGCGGTGTTAATTGTAATGCGTAACTGTCAACACTGGATACAAGACAGGCGTTCTTGCACTCATCATGATTATTCCGAAGTACTAGATTTCTCGCAGCATAGTTTGCCACATAATATACAGGACGACCATCCGCCGCCCAAGCAGTGTACGTTTCACGAGCGACAGACACTGCTAGTGCATCAGATGGAAGTCTTTCGTAGTCTTCCTCATCATATTCCGTCTCATGCAGCATTTTTTCTACAGACGAAAGAGACTCCTCCCCTAAGTCATCCACGTTGCCACCCTTGGGACTCTAAGAGGCTGAGCTAAGGCATCAAGTTTTGTGGACAGGCACAATGCAGCGACGCTGGGTCTTCTTTTTTGTTGTTGACACTTTCAGGCATTTCAGAGAAACCCAGTGCAAGAACCGATTGACAATGTGCTTGTAAAGCAGGTATCGCCTATGAAGGAAGAAAAAAAGCGGCGCACCTTAGGTAAACCTTGCAAAGTGTGCCGCTCACTACTTGCGCCGCTGCCATCATCCCCTCTAGCGGCATCGGTGCGCAGAAAGGCTTCTCCGGGAAGCGATTAAGTGCTGCGCTCATCACATCTCCCCATTGTAGCTACTCTAGCCAAGTCTTGCTTACCGTGATCTAAATTGCAATTCCATGTTTCAGTAAAAATACCAGTGTCCAGTTTTTACAGCTTCATTCATAAGCTGTATGACATTTCCCGGCAGCTGTTAGAAGGTGAATCAGTTTTTGAGGCTGACCACGTTTTCGCCTGTAGCTCATAACAATATAGAGAAGGACAAGTGGCTATGGGCCTATTCTACAGATGTAATCTATAAGCAAGGAACCCCGTGAGCTGAAGTCGACAGTTGCAGACTGAAACTCGTATAGTTGGGAACGGACATGAGGACAACTAACACGGACACTCGGCAGTGGGTGGTGGTAGCGCAGGCTGTGGTTAAAACGTACCTTGGTGAGAGAAGTAATCTTTAGCAATGACTTGAGCGGCGCATGTTTGATGTAAGAAAGAAGGTTTCGTCGAATGCGTTGGCCAAACGCGCAAAACCAACTGGTCACGAAATAGATTGGAGTAGAAATAACGGACAGAAAACAGAACTGAACTTCTCAGCTTTATCTTGAATCTTTTAAAATTCAGACAACACAGCGCACATTCCTAAATGTAATGATGGCAACTTCCCCCACATGTACGCTAGTACGTCGTACTTAAAGGCCTGTTCGCATATTTCTTTGTTGTGAACGGTGCCCCCACGTGGAAACAAAAAATTTATGCTTTTTATGTAAACATTCGTAGTTGGTGTTCATTCTAACCCCATGGGCGTAAACAAATAAAAACAGTCACAACAACAAAGACAGTGAGATGACAGTGGAACCATGTATGTAGCGTACGTTGCACACTGTGACATGATGTCAATGAATTCAGAAGTTCAGAAGTAGTCTTCAGAAGTTTGCATACATGAAGGCAAAACAGCGCTATTCAAAATAGAAAACACAAAGTCGCGGTTAAAAGCAATGCATTCAACCATCCACTTCTCTTCGCCAGAGTGAGGTGAGGTCGTGATTCGCAGTGAATGCAGCACCCGCACCGTCAATGGTGGGCCTCGGCCCAATAACAAGGTATATGGCTAAGTTCCAAATGAAACAGAAGCAGAAACGCAAAGTGTGAGAAATAGGTGCGCCTTAGACCAAGTGAACGCTATGGGTAACAGTAGAACACAGGCACAGCAAAGGTTTTCATAAAAGCGTCCTGAAGAAAAAAAAGGCTTGCGTATGCTGAGCTCTGTTTAAGACTATATCTACAGTCGTGCACGGGCGCAAAACGGGTCGCCTCAGCGATGATACCCTCCTCTCCCAACCAGCTCTCAGCATGGACGGATGGATGGATGGATATGGCTGTACCCTTTAGATCGGGCGGTGGCTACCGCCACCAAGCCGTAACACCTAATGAACCAAAAACTATATTTATTTTTTTTCCCTTAAAAAGTGAGTTTGAGGATTCGTACTTTGCAGTGAAGAGTTTAATTTTCACTCGTGTCTTGACTTTAGCCACCAATCAGATAACCTCCTTCTGGTTAAGTCTACCCGCTTAAAGTTTATTTTGCCCTCCCGGTCCCTAAACCCCAGTGCTTTGAAAAACTCTGAGCCATCATCCTGAACTATAGGGTGAAGCCCTTTACAGAACATTATCAAGTGTTCGGCAGTTTCTTCTTCCTCTCCACACGCATTGCATACTGTGTCTACCCCTTCGTATTTGGCCCGATATGTCTTGGTTCGCAGTACTCCCGTCCTGGCCTCAAACAGTAGAGAACTACCCCGAGTATTATCATAGATCCTTTCCTTGGCAATTTCCTGCTTAAAAGTTCGATAGATCTCTAGTGCGGACTTCTTAATCATGCCCATTCTCCACATGTCAGTCTCCGTTTCCTTCACTTTCTTCTTAACCGATAGTTCTTTTTGGTTTGGCCACCTGCTGTTTTCTAAGTATTTACCAGTCAACTTCCTGGTTCGCTTCCTCCATTTTGTATCGACATTCTTCATGTACAAGTAGCTGAAAACCTTCCTAGCCCAACGCTCTTCCCCCATTTCTCTCAATCGTTTCTCAAATTTTATCTTGCTGCTAGCTTCCCTGCCCTCAAATGATGTCCATCCCATATCACCTTGTACTCCCTGATTTGGTGTATTCCCGTGAGCTCCTAAAGCAAGCCTACCTATTCCACGTTGCTTAATTTCTAATCTTGCTTGAACTTCTGATCTCATGCACAAGACCGCATTGCCGAACGTCAGCCCAGGAACCATGACCCCTTTCCATATTCCTCTCACAACATCATACCTATTGTAATTCCACAGTGCCCTATTTTTCATGACTGCTGCATTCCTGTTACCTTTAGTCGTCACGTATATTTCGTGTTCCCTCAGATACTCGGTCCCATTGCTTATCCATACGCCCAGATATTTGTATTTATCTGTTATCTCTAGCGTGACCTCCTGTATTCTAAGCTCACTACCTTCGTTGTCATTGAAAATCATGACTGCTGATTTTTCCTTACTGAATCTGAAATCTAACCT